CTTGTGTGGAGGTGTCCCCGTGCATATTCATCGTCCTAGGGCTGTGCTACGGTGTCGTACTAGTGGCCATCATCTGTTCCCTCATATCAGTGTATATAAAGCAAGCACAGCCTGTGTGGGTGATCAGTCTAATTTCTGTAGCTCTTGCCTGGCTGGCCTTCGGGGTTGCTTTCAAGTTCGTGTTCTCTGTAAGAGACACAAGGCGTCGCCGACTCGACATTGGGGTGGAGGAGAAGAATACCCAATACGGCTATCAACGAGATTCAACCAGCAGCAGTGCTGATCGCCGCCTTTCATGACACAGTCTTGACTCTCTGAGTGTACCATGGTTCTGTAAGACATGCTGTACCCTTTTGCGTTTTTTCCTGTGATACCCCTGTACTCAGTAAGTCGGGTCGCTCTGATCTGGAGACCTTGGCGCCTCCATTTTCTGGGTGGTCATTGGATCGATCGTGTCGCATATTATGGAGTTGTCCCCTCCCCCCCGAGTGGTGGGATGTTTGCCTCGGGAGTATTTGAGCTGCATGGGCGATCACTTGTTTCTGTGGGGGGGCGTTCTTGGAATACAACATAGGTGAGTAGTACTGCGTACGCGGAACGCATCTTAGTTTATAGCGGTACCTGAAAGTGTTGGGTTTAGAGATCCAACTCGTTTGTATGGTTGAATGTGATAGTGATAGTCTTATTTCGATTAACCTCTAACTCCAACCTCTCATGGACCGACTTCATGTCTCCTTCACTACGGCCGTCGTACTCTTACTCCTGTGGATCAGCGTGATTCTCACCCTCGTTATAGTGGCATTGGTAGGCGCCTTTGCATACCATCTCAGCGGAGTCGCTGTGGGAAGCATCATCACGGTTTGCGGCCTTATCGCATTGCTGGGTTCCCTCGCCCGTGGGTGGACAGTTGTCGATCGGGAGAACTTCGAGCTTTCCGAGTACAATGGCAAAAACTACGACACCGTTAAGGCCCCTCCTGTTAGTGCTACTGAGAGCATCGTTACTACTGTGTAGATCTGGGAAACACACCTTAGTGGATTTCCTATCACGAATGAAGGAATACGTAGAAGCTAGCGCGTTGTTAACAGCAGTATTTTCGCCTTCGCGGAAAATGGTCAGGTCTACCATCACTATCGCCGCCTTTGTCACGCGGCGCTTTTCTCTGTATCCTCCAATTCAGCACAACTTATTCTCGTACGGCTCGCTGATGATGTGATCAAGGACTGTAGGCACCACCGTGTTGGTCGTGTGCTACCTCTTTACGAGATGTCTCTCCGCTGCCCTTTTTCGTAGTATATGTCATCACTGTGCGAATTGTTGTAGTTGAGATCGGACGCCTGTCGTGGTTTATGCTGAGACATCTTGTCTATTGTCTTTAGCATCTCACCCTGCTACTAGAAGCATCTATTTAATCGTCATTCTAAGAGGGATCACCATGGACCAGTACGTGTCCTGCTGCTAAAGGGGTCTGTTGTACCTCTTAGCATTCTCGATAGGAGTCGTAGCTTCGACGGTAACATTTCGAGTCGTTGAGTTGTTTGCAGTTCATCTGTTGGGAGGAGGCCTCAGCCATCAGAGATTATGTCCTATCATGGTGTAGCTACGTCGTCCTCAGCGACGACGGCAACGACCACTGAAACCAGTAATTCTACGACGATTACTCTGTCCATACCAGATAACAATGAGGATGAACAACATAATGTCCATTGGGCTGAAGGTGAGGCGTTTTGCATGTGTAGCGGAGTTCTGTCCTTCTAGGAAGGGTTCAGTGTAGTGAGATTCGCCGTTGTGTAGGTACTGTAGACAACGAGCACTTGAACCGGCGGAAGACTAAGAAATGCTGCATTTATCGCAAACCACGGGCATTTGGCGAATCCTCATCATCGTCATCATCATCATCTTCGTCCTCTTCTGATGAGGGAGAGGGTAGTGGTGATGATGATGCTAGTAAGAAGAAAGAATGCGGCCAGCATAGACGCCACCATAAATCCAGCAAGCGGAGCGCTAAGGTAGGCTGGGTACTGCCCCTCATTGGGTCGGTTGTCCGATTTTGGGGTGCCTTTAGGGTAAACCGCCATCAAAGAACCAGCGTATTGGTGATAAGCCTTCCGATGCGACCGGAGCCTCCAACGATTCTGAGGTCGACTAGTCTCTCAGGGGTGCTCATACTCCTGTATTATAGTCTGTTACCATCTCATCATCATCTTAAAGTAGCGAAGCTGCAGATATGTTGCGCTTGAGGATATGCACGACCGTTCACCCCACATATTGCCGCAGGGCTGGCGTCAATAGTCCACAGAATTGTAGGTGTGCCCCTCAGTGAGCATCCGGGCGTGCGCTTTTTGCATTGCTGTGAATATCGTTATGGCGAGAATCGGCCCTAAGAGGTACTCGATGATTACCCGTGATGATTGTGCGTGAGTCGGGGTTCGCGTTGTAAGCGTTGAAACTGTATTCAGCAGGGTCCGGCCACAGGACGGGGTTCTTTTCACATTCCTTCCCTTATGGCCTCTGTGAGCTCCAGTGAAACCTACGATGGTCGTTCGACATCTCACTCATCTCAGCCACCTCTAGACGGCGACATTCGTCTTCTTCCTCACAAGAGGACACGGCACGAACACTTCAATGTGGTCCCCTCAGTCCTGCCGCCTTCTCGCTCTCGAGACCATCATCAGCCCTCTACTAAGCGACCTGGCAGCGCCTATACACATTCCGGAATGCACTCGGGGGGCATTGAAGATGTGACTATGATGGTTCAAGGGCTGGTCCCCAACCACCTGGGGCCTCTCTCGAAGATCAGCTGCGATCGACTTATCCGTATGGCGGAGGACAGGCTTAAACCGAGGCCGCCCTTTGCGTTACCATCCCAGGCATCAGAGTTGTGTAAGGAAGGCGCCCTAGGGGCTGCTGTCTTGTCATCTTCTGCCGAGGGCCCTCGTAAGCGTGTCCCGTGGGAACCCAGGGAGGTCAATATGCTGCGCCATGAGTTGCCAGAGTGAAGGATGGACCTTGAAGCCCGGCGCTTGCTTGGTGGGGGCTCGGCGTCCAGCAGTGGTCGGCAAATGGGTATGTCTGAG